GGAGCAACCCCAGCATGGAGGCACGAGGAGGGGTCAAGAGGAGAGGGCTCGACCGAGGTAAGGTCCCGCCTGGGAAACACAGCACGATTATCTTGCGCCTCATCCTCCGAAGACCTCTTGGACCCCTGGGATCTCTCAAGGCTCGACGGCACCTCCGGGGGGGGGGGGGCGGAGCAAAACTCACTGAACACATTTGCCTGGCGAGCCTCCTACGCCCAGATGCTGTTCACGCGAAGCGCGCGCAGTGAATACATTTCCAAGTAGACACACCGCGAACAATCTCATGCAAGCGCTCATGCGACGCCGGCTGTGGGAGCTGCCGCCGCGGGCGTGGTCGTCGAACTCGTTGGTCACGCCGCGGCAGCCGAGCAGTCGGCGGTGTCCGATCAGGGGCAGCTGCTTCCACCAGCACTTGTGAATTCCCTATCCACGAAGCCATCAGTCGAACTCCATCGAGCAACTCCGCAAGTAGCTCGCGAGCATGGGTCTGCACATCATGTCTGGCCAATCCTCTCTTCGCTGCCATGTCCGCGTAGTCGTTGCCCTTCGTTCCTTTCTGAGTCTGAGTGGTGAGGGCTGCCTTCTGTGCCTGGTGACCTTTACGTACTCGATTGTCAACTGATCCGATAAGCCGCCTTGGCCCTCAAGCGCGTGCCAGAGGTCGCGCCACAGTCCACTTTGGACCTCCTGGCGTGCAAACACCACTCCTTTCCATTGCTGATGCCTTCGATCGTCATCATGAAATCTGCGAGAATATGTAAGGGTACGGCGCCGCACCTGGGAGTTATGATAACTGCCATCATCTCAGCTCTTGGCACCGACTGCTGAGCTCCAGGAGGAGGCGCATAGGCAAATCCCAACAGCTGGCGTCCTCTCATCATGGGCACGCCCCATCCTGCCCTCGATGCTTCTGGCCAGGCCATAAATGCGCGGCCAGTTCCATCTGTATATATCTCCCCCGTGATTGTGGCTTCCCGACCGCCGTAGTCGCAGCACCACTTCTCGCGCGCGCAGACGGGGGGCAAGTTGGGCAATGCATCTCTGAAATGCATGCCACGCGCATAGAACATACCATTGACTGGAATTGCGCGAGCGGCATCAACTATATGCTGGCCCACAGCCTCGGTCCTCACGTCGTCCAAGGTAGTGCAGAGCCAGAGACGGCGGTGGAGCGTGCCTGGGCAGCTCTCGCAGAACATGCAATCGCCGTCGTCAGCATATCCACGCTTGCGCAATATGCCTAAGACCACTGGCCCCCGATAGTGGTGGACCTGAGCGCACAGCGCACCCTGACCATGAGCCTCCAGCGACGGGCCTATTCCTTTGGAGCCAGAAGCAGTTGCAGCGGGCCCATGCAGTAACCACTCGAGCTTCTCGTTGGCACCGTGATCTCTGGAGCGCGATCCTTACGACGGGCCCTCTCCTCCCATTTCAGATTGGTGACAGACCTGCGTGCAACTGTGCAGATCCAGTCTGGCGGGTCGACGGTCAGGTCCAGCTTGACGCCATGCGCCGGGGTCCACTCGAAAGGCGAATGCACTTCCCACTTCAATTGAACCAATCTCTTCCGCACCGCACCTGCAGGACCTGAAACAGCAGCCGACTTTGGATCATTGCCCAGAGCCTGCTGCTGCTGATGGAAAGCATGGCGTAGTACATCATGTGGTACTGAGAAATCTGCCACCATCTGAGCCCAGGTATACAGCGGTTCCGCGATGGCGAACACTTCAGGGTGTTGGTCACGACGTGGTTCGAGTTGCGCAGCAACCCATGTCGACGTAGCTGGCGGTGTCCGACCCCGTCCAACTCTCAACATCTTGGTCCGATTCCTGATCACGGTCTGCGTGGCGCCGATGACCTGGACGCCGCACAAAAGAGCAGGCCCAATACAAGGTTGAGCGACCACCCTTCCAATGCGAGCCATGGCGCACAACCCTTGAAAACGAAGAAGTATGGCCTTCATGTTGTGCATTCGCCTTCTGGTAGAACTGCATCGAAGCTTGGCTCCACCACGGGACCCCATGCCCAGAATATCCAGTGCAGTGACAGCTTTGAATCAATGGTGTCCGACTTGACGTGCAACCTGCTGTGCGGAGTCGGGCGAGGAGGCAATGATCTTGGCCTTGTCCGGCGCTGCGGGTAAATCCAGTGCGCGCAAGACCGCCGCCAACTTCTGAATGATTCGAACTGACGACTCGACGATGGTCTGAGGCGTGGCCACCACTTGGAGCGAAATATCATCAGCACCGATCTCCAGCGAGTGGTGCGCATCGTCGAGGGTGAATGATTGTTCGGAAATGTCGAAGGGCAACATCATCACCAATTGAAGCAAGAGCACTGCCACTGAACATCCAGGTAAAATGCCACGTTGCGCCTGGACCGCCTAGCTGTCAGAAGATCCCCATCGCATGCGCCTGGGGGCGTAGTACATCGCCAAACAGAGGTTGAGCAAAGGCGTTGAAAAGTCGAGCTGAGCAGCAGCCCGCAGCACACGCCTCCAGCAGGCTCGACCGAAACATTTACTTAGATCAGTAAATGCTGTGAGGATCGACGAAGAGAGTGAGCCTGCGTGAGCCTCGGCGTAGATCAAGGTCCTGGCGCCCACATCTAAAGCTGATCTGCCTTCGCCAAGCGCAAAGTAAGGCCGGGTATGCCGAGCCACCCATGATCGTACATGTCCAGGTATCATATTGGTGCACACTCAATATAGCGACGGCAGAAGGGCTATCGGTCGAAGACGGCCCTGGGGTTTCGCCAACAGCACTATGTGGGTCATGAGCATGTTGGTCGGCCAACGATTGGTCGGCCAGCGCGCCCACGACTCCGCCGCCCAGAAAATATAAAGCATCACTGCCAATGCAGAATCCGATAGCAGCGACCACGCCCTCGGAGGTAAGGCGTCGTGTCCAAGACCTGTTCTCCATCTGAGAGTCTTGGCTGCAAATCGTACCTGATCTACCGTGGGCACGGGCAGCGCATTCGACGGTAGCCGAGCGATATCGTCCAGGATGTCTTGGTCCACCCCGTCGATGAGGTGATCCATGTCCTGTGGGTCGCTGGCGCCATCATTCTGCCTGTCCTGCTGGTAGAGACTGTCCCTGCCTGGCTTGGCTGAGACTGCGGTGCCTTCCCAAATTCGACTCCACGCATCCATCTGGCTAGCAGTGATGGCCTGGGGATGCGAAGTGACTTCCCCATGCCGCTTGACCTGGCTGTGCGTCCATGTCTTGATGCGCGTGAGGCCGAACACTGGGGCAGGGCCCGATACCAATGAATCGCGAGCCCATGTGTGGAATGACTTCAGCCGATCTCGACCTGCCTGGGTCTCGAACTTATCAGCATGTTGCGCCAGCTGGTCAGCAAAGGCATCCAGACAGGACTGATTGAGTTCAGGCGGTGCTCGCGAAGCGAGGTGTATGATGGGCCATGCCATATCCAACCAAAAGAAACCTGCTGCAGTGTGAACGTCCTGACGGTGACCTGGTCGAAGAAGGCGACTGAGATGATCCCAACGTCGTTTCACCACCATGCGCTCCAACTTCTGCGTCGCCATGTCCTTCAGGGCGGTGCTGACGGCGCGAATGTACCGCGCCTCACTGCCAGCAGCTGGGTGAGGACCTCGAGGGGGCCCTCCGATGGGCATCCAGATGTACTTGGTGCCTTCAGCTCTGCCTTTAAGTAGAGATTGTCCAAGCGTTCCTGCGCCTGGGCCGAAGTATCAGGAATCCCCAACTGAGCATCCTGCTGAATAGTGTCAACAAATGCCTTCTCTTCTGGTGGCCCTTGAAGCGGATGACTGCCGACGTCTGAAGGGTGCCCCCGAAGGAAGGCCTTTGGCGCCCGAATGGTAAGCTGTCGGAGCTAACGAGGATGAGCAGCCAAGTCAAATCGTACCGTTTTGTGTGGCCGCGCGGGCCACTTGCCAAGCATCCTCGGCCGAGTGCAAGCAGCATGCAAGTCAGCCGAAGTAAGCCAGTAGTCCAACATCGAGTAGTTCCCTTTAGCCGATCTGCACATCCCTTCCCCTGGAGGAGGAGGAGGAGGAGGAGGAGGAGGAGGAAGAGGAGGAGGAGGAGGAGGAAGGCGGAAGGAGAAGCGAGGGCGGGATGGGAGGAGGGAAGAGGACGGGTTCATATACAGATCTATCCAGGTGCCTGCGACAAAGCCGCCACCGCACCAGCGCAGCACTCCGTGTGGCGATCCCACGAGCACCGGGCAGAAGGCTGTCACGCACTGCATCCCGTGATTCCAGAACGCCCGGAGTGTGCAAGAGAGCCGCCAAGGACGATGGACCCTGGCGGTGGTACTGACTACCTACCAGACCACCCCAACCCAACCCGAAGACCCGAATTGGACCCTAATTTCGGGCTGGGGGGAGTACGTATGGGTTCCATGTGTTTCTTTGATGTTCCCCGACCAACCCCCCCACTGGGAATGGAGGACAAACCGAGGCCTTCGGGTTGGGTTGGGGTGGTTTGGTGGGTGGTGAGGTACACCCATCGATCGTTCCCAGCGAAGACAATGAAGAGCTCTCCCACCGAGAAAGAAGCACTGCTAGGCTGAACCACGGGGAACACAGCTGTCGTACACATGCGCGCGGGAATAGGCGTACACATGCGCGCGGGAATAGGCGCTCCACGCAGGCGGCGGCCGGAGAGGCGAGAGCGGGGGACGAAAGGAGTGGGCACCCCTCCCAGGCCCGAAGTCTGGCCGACGTCGGCGCTTTCCCCCCGGAGCATCAGCTCCAACCTATCTGAAGTAATGCAGGACGGTCGACATTCCCGCCAGCGCCCCAGGCTGCCCGCTAATCTCTCGGGCTGAACAGGGAGGCTCCGACACCTGAGGACGAAAAGCAGCGCAGGTGCATGGTGATTCCGAAGCGTGCGGCGCCACTTCCAATGAAGGCCTCACTCTCCCAGCGAAGCGTCTTCACCGACGGCAATGGTGGCTGGCCATCGGGTGCAGGGCACAAGGGCGCGAGAATGCCACGTCAGCGCCAC